TCTACATGTCTCCTTAAGTTCCTGCATTCATTAGTCTGATGGCCAAAGTCAGAATGAAATGCACAATGCTTAGACTGATCCCTCTGTTCGAGGGGTTGTTTGATCGGTAAAGGAGATCAGAAATTATTTTTATTTTCTTAGTACAGCCTTGCTAAGGTGACTTTTAACGGAGTAACTAGCTCTTCCTCCCTGGGCCTCTTCTCAGATTTCCACAAGGTCTGACGCTGTGGCTGAATCTGCTTTTGTCTGATCTTTGCTTTGGTTTTCTTCTCTGTGGATATGACGGATGTCTTCCGAGCGTTAGCTGCCTCTTCTTCTTCCAAGCGCACAAATCTATCAGCTTTTTCGTTAAGTTCATCCATAGTCTTCGGCGTATTCACGATCAAGCTTGTATGGAATGGAGTGCCACGAGTCATGGCCAGTATAAACGCTTGAACCACGGTAGAAGGATGACATTCAATCATCATACTCTTAGTAAGGTTAAACCTGGTTAGGAAAGCCTGGAGACGCTCATCCTCATGCTGCCGAAATGTCCTTTGTTGGACGCTTATTTCCATAATATTGGTTTACGAACCGATCACACAAGCTTCGGAAACTGTCCACTGAGCCTCTCGGCAGGTTCTTGAACCAATTGAGTGCTGGTCCAGCTAGACTTGTAGGGCAGCACTTGCACATCAAGGAATCATTTTCAGTGTTCAGAGCCATTTTCAACTGGATGTGATACACATGATCAATCGGATCGGTCGTTCCGTCGAACATAATGAAAACGGGCATGGAAAATTTCCTCGGACTTGAGGCATTCAGAATTTCATCGGTGAACGGTGAATCAACCGTTCGAGCTGCTGAACGGAGGGCTTCATTTTCCCTCTGGAACCCCGCGATCACTCTCTGATCTACAGATCTCCTCTCTGAGTTGTGATAGTCGAACGTCGCCATGGAAGGCCGATAAGTCGGATCGAATGATCTATCCTCGATAAATTCTTTGTGCCACGTCGGTATAGCTTTGTGACGATCAAACTCCATTGCTTCTCCTTGGCTGGACGTTTCTTGACGTGGATCGAAAGTCATGGCTTCGTTTTGCCTGATCTGCTCACGCCGTGGATCCACGTGAGTTGATCCTTCGCGATCACCAACACGACGAGGATTTGGCGGCAAATCGTTTGGCCTGACCTCCTCGCGGTGAAGATCTGTCTGATTGTTCCCTACCTCCTCGCAGTGTTGTGCCGCATCGGTACGTGCAACTTCTTCTCTTGCCGGGAGCAATCGTGGAATCACCGGAACTTCTTGACGCTGCATTTCAGTCCTTAGATCTGCATTCTCTCTCCTGAGAGCTTCGATTATGCTCATCAACTCATCAAGTTTCATCTGTTGGACATTCTCTACCGTATTGGAGTTCTCAACCCCTATCATGATTCCGGAGCGAAGCAAAGGCATGAATCACGAATTCCTAATCAGATATGAGTGTCACCGATGCGAATTCTGTCAGATCTGGACTCAACTTCACTGAATCGTGATCACCGTTTGCTAGATCTGAGCTTTTCTAGCTTTGAACTCACCGGATCTAACTGCAATTGAACAAATCACAGTTGCGTAATTCTGAAGCAAATGCCTCAAAATCAACAATACTCAAGAATCTTCTCTGAACAAACTACAATCTCACTGATCTGGATTCAACTTCCAGAAATCAAACTTTTTGTTCACGAATTTGCTTGAATCAACATGATATTGATCAAGCTCGAATCGATTGTCTTCGTCGTTCCCACAGACGGCGCCAATTGAAGATGTAAAGATTTTTCTCTCTTTTCTTTTTACAGAATCTTATCACAATTTAAATAATAAAAAATCGATCCCCCTTTCATTCTCTTCACAACCCTTTTATAGGCAACTACCAGTGCTACTGGTCTATCTCTTTTGGGCCTTCTTTCCAATGGGCTCAGTCCTCTTCAGTGGATCCAAGATCGGCCTATTCCGTGGTGCTTTTGTATTGGCTATACTTCAATTGTTTGTCCCTATCCAATGCCAGTGAACTACAACCGACCCATACCGCTTAGTGTATCCTCACCCTCCCTTTTCATAAAACCTTTTACATTCTCAAAATTATTATTGTTAACTAATAAATCTATAAAGATTAAAGTTGATAAACATTTTTGCTTCGTTACAATCATTTTCCCTCCCTTTTTATAAAACCGTTGCACATCATTACTCAAAAACAAAAATGGACTCTAAAATTTCAAAAATAAAGAAATCTTAATAAAAATAATATTCATACCAATTTATTAAAATGAATCCAAAAGAGAACTAAACAATATATAATAATAATAGTAAAGTAATAAATACATTCATCAACAAAATAGGTTTGCTGGCCAGTCTCTTGAAAAGAGCTTACAACAATAAGATTTCATTTATGCCATATAACAATCATATATAATTTAATCAATTGGTATATTTATTTTTGGTACAATGACAAACAAAAAATATATACCATAGTTCTTTCTTAAATTAAGCATTTTTGTTTCTTTGTTTCTCAAATCATCTTAGAAACAACAAAGTCAACATTCAAAAATATCATTATATATTATTGTTTTAGATCACCCAAAAAATCACAAAATGTTTCAAACTTCAGCTCATCAGGTCTCAATTGATCTACCACCAATAAGAGTTTTATTTTTATAGATTGTGAGCCTGAAAATGATAAAGATCTTCCAATTTGGCCTTCAACAACATTAGAAGCATCTCATTCAACCCAGTCAGCCGTTTTTGTTTTTTAATTGGAATGATTTTAGGATTTTTATCACTGTACAACGGACACATTCAATTGTACATTACCATGTAGACGCGTGTATTACAAGGACGGTGGTCCGGATACGCCCGTTGCACAGTGTAACAAACGCAATATAATTTTTCTCCAATAGAAGAGTACTCATCTAATTTAACCAGTGATAAAAGCTTGACATGCCCAACATGATGTAGTCTATCCCTCCCAACAGTGCCAACACTCTCAATTAACAAGGTCACATTGGAGAATAACATTTAAACTTAAGCCTGTAATATATACTCGTATTAGGATGCATTATGCGTGAAGAATACAATATGTAGTTGGCAGAGCCTGGATTTCATATCAGGTGCAATATATTTGATTTAAAAATAAATAAAAAAAATCAAATAACATGCATAAAAATTTGATTGATTTTGAAAGTGATGTTTGAAATTAAACATATTGAGTTTGTAAAATTAGAATAATAAATGTAAATAAGAAGAAAATAAAAAAATTACATACATCATATACAAGTGCAAAAAGAAGATTCTTAAGAAGTGGAAACAAAAAAGAGAAAAGTGAGAGAACTTTGAATGGGAAAAATAAATAAATTAAGATTTGATTGACGAAAGGGAAGTAAGAATGTAACTTTTTTTTTTTTTTTTTTTTTAAAGAAAAGAAAATTAAAAAATTTGAAGATTAAAGCAGGGAAAAAAAAAGAAAAGAAAAAGAAACAAGAGATAATTTTAGTAATTGAAAATTTTAAGAGGACATACTATAAAATTTATCATACATATAGGAAAAAAATAAATAAAAAGAATAAATATATAAGGTCAGGGGCAGGGTCAGGCAATTTTAATCTAGGCCAATGTTCATGTGATATAATGAAAAAGAATTTTGAGTTTTTAGTTTTTAGAGAATTAAAGACCCTGAACCAACTATTTTCATAACCATCCAAGGTTTTAATAGAGATACATGTAATGCACAAGTTGCACTATATGGAAACTAGGATTATGTAATATCTCATTGCAGTTTTTTTTTTTTTTTTTTTTTTTTTTTCATTTAATTGTATGACAGGGATCATTTGTATATTTAAAAAGATCTAAGAATTAGAACTAAAGAAAGTGATAGAAACTATTGTGAAATTATTATATCAATTATAAATAAAATAAAAATATAAACCCATAAAAACATCAAATATTGATCCATCACTTGCTTTAGTGTTATTGTTACCATTGATTAGTTGGGTGTTTCACGTAGTTGTGGCCCGATTTAATAAATATTATCCACATAATCCATGGCATGTACAGTTGAATTTCTTAAGTCCCGCTAATTATATATATTTTTATTTTTTACGAAATTAAAATGGATTATTGTAGGGGTAATAAAGTTTGATACGACCCGTCAATACGACATGAGTTAAACGGGTTTAGGTTGACCTTAAACAGGTTTTGGTCGTAAACGGGCCGGCACGATTAACCCGTTTAGTTAATCGTGTTATGTTTGAATTGAGAGATTCAACCCTATAATCCATTTATACCCGTTTAACTATACATGTCATAAGCAAATTTCTATTTAAGTTCCAAAATAAGTATCTAAACTTGCATTTTATAATTTATTCTTTAGTAGATTAGAGATTATTTAATAATTTGGTTGGATTGAAACTTGTATATATTTTTAGTATTTAATATTTGATCGAGTATTATTAATAATTTAAATAATAAAATATTTGATTTTATGATCTATTAATAAACCGATCGGATTAGTTTTGAGGGTTCTTGACACGATTATTAAACGGGTCATTATCGAGTGAGCTATTTAATAGAAATATCTTTAAATTAACCCGACACGATTCCGGCATACGAATACGAATTGTCACCCCCTATATTATTATAGTATGGAATGTGGAGATGATTTAGGATTATATATTTGGACCATTGATATGAGCCCATTTCAAAGGCCCAAAACTTTTATTGCTGATATGTTGGCTATTGGTTGACTCAGTGTGTTTGGGTTTAGGCTCAATCTGAGCTCAGTCACAAACATTTGAACGGCCTTTCTGAATCACTCTCCCTAGGGTTAGGGTTTTTCTCTGAAACTCGTGGAAGATCAAGCAAAGCACAAAGGTAACAATCAAATCGCTCTAACACTTTCCGAATCACTTTCCCTAGGGTTAGGGTTTTCCTCTGAAACTCGTGGAAGATCAAGCAGAGCACGAAGGCAACAATCAAATCGCTCTAACACTATGGCTTTCAGAACCTGTAAGTCTATTTCAGTCATGTTTCATTTCAAATACGACACTCTCGTACATCACAGAGTCAATCATAATACATCCACAATTGTTCGTTTTTTTGAAACCCAATCAATAGAAAAAAATTCAGATTTCACAGAGAAACAAGCTCTCACGATCTCTTACCTCACAAAGTCGTGTGGGTTGTCTCTGAAAACTGCTATCTCAGCTTCTAAGAAGGTCAATATTAAGAGCACAGAGAGACCAGACTCTGTTCTTCACCTCCTAAGGTCGATTGGGTGCACTGAAAAACACATTTCAATGCTAATTTCTACATACCCAAGGTTAATTTTTGCTGACCCGGAGAGAACTTTGAGACCCAAAATTGACTATTTTGAATCTTTTGGTATGGTAGGTCCTGACTTGCCTAGGATTCTCTGTTCATGTAACATGTTAGATAACAGTTTAGAAAACCGAATCAAACCCACATTTGATTTCTTCAAACGATATGTAAGGACCAATGAGAATTTAATTTATGCTCTTAAGCGAACTAACCGTATGCGGCTGTGCAATGTTCAGAAAGTTATGGTGCCAAACATCGACACCTTGCTTGCTCATGGTGTCCCTGAATCGCATATTGGAAGACTAATCATGTTGCTGCCTAGAGCACTAACGTTGAGAGTTGATATGTTTAAAGAGGTTATTGATGCAGTGAATGAAATGGGATTTGATCCCAAAAGGCTATCCTACTTCTTGGCTCTCCGTTCCGTGTTGGAGAATAACAAAGTCAATTGGGAAAAGAAAAAGGATGCTTATATGAGCTTTGGTTGGTCTGAAAGCGAATTTAATTTGGCATTCAAATTGCAACCGGGATGTATGCTTTGCTCAGAGAAGAAGATCAGGGAGCTGATGGATTTCTTCATGAACAAGGCAGGGTTAGGAGCATCAGAGATTGCTAAAGGCCCAAATCTTTTTCTATTGAGTTTGGAAAGGAGAATCATTCCAAGATGTTCAGTTCTGCAAGTTCTGATGTCAAAGGGTTTGATTCGGAAGGATGTAAATGTGGTTTGGGCGTTAATTCATAGCAAAAAGATTTTTGAGACCAAGTTTCTGACCAAGTATAAGGAGGTAGCTCCTGAGGTAATCAAAGCATACGAGGGTGAGATAGGATTTCAAGGATTCAATGCTAGATTGTAGGACAATATTGAATCAGAGAAGCGAGTGACTGCTAGATATGCTGGCAACAGCAGAAGACTAACAATAGTCTAAGAAGTAACAATAGTCTGACTAGTGAGTATTTGAGTTTCTATCAAAATGATTTGGCTGCATATAAGGTCTGCCATCTGAGAAGTAATCCTCTTATCACGTCAATGAGGTTTTTTGGTGGCTGATACAGTATGAAAAGAGGTAAGAATCAAGATATTCTTGTATATTTTGAAGTTCACGTCAGCTTTCTCTGTTGACTTTGTCACATCTTCGAAATGTTCATAATTATGTTTCTCATCTGTAATGTTATGAAATATGCTCTAATTTTTTAAATTTTGACAACCAGCAGATTTGCTTCATAGTTCCATTTGGTGGTTGTTTGTATTCATATAGTATATACATTGATTTGGTGGATTCCCTTGTTTTACCTGTAAGAGGACTTAGTACCTGTGAAAGGCTAGTAGTCATTTCCATGTGTGTTTGATTTCATTATGGCTAATTATTCCCATGCGTCCTAACATGTCTATTCATTCATATACTACATAAATCCTTTATCTCTAGATTTAACTTTCCATGATTTCATTTTGGCTACAGAGTCCTACGTATCGTAACCTGTCTGTTCTTTCATATATTATGTAAAACCTTTTTCTCTGGATTTAACTTTCATGTACGAGAAATCTATTAATATGCAATTCTTCAACAGAAGAAATTCTTAGGGCTCACATTTTCCGATTAGTGTATTTTGAAGTTATATGCAGAATGCTACGGACCAGAAATAGCTTAATTGTGTATGGGATATTTGAATTGAGGAGAAGTGGAAGTATGTTTATCATCTATGGTGTTTGCAGATTGTTCACCCAGTGATTTATATCTTTTTACTACCTTTATTGAGGGAAGTCAAAACAGATAACTGTGTTTTTCATTCTATCATTCATTTTGCTCACTTTTACGTTCTCAGTATGTACTTCCCCTAATAATTTATGCATTCTCACGTTACTGGTGGTATAGGGATGGTTGAAGTGGCTAGTAGTATCTGACCTTTGACATTTGTTAGGTGGTGAGGGAGAGCTGACATTTGTGAAGTATGGATATCATTAGTCCAAAATATATCACGTAAAGTATTTGCTATGTTGTGTGCTACATCTATTTGGGTTGTCTGGAGAGATAGAAATCTCAGAATGCACCAAGACTCTAGTAGAGAGGCTGAGGAAGTTGCTAGGACTGAGGTTTTTGACATTATGGGTGTGGCTACTATATTGGTTTACAACATGTTCAATTCACATTCTTTTAATTTTTTTTTGGTATATATATGATATGACACATTAAATTGTTTGGTAAGCCACAAGGGTGGAGTGTTCGTCGGCAAGGCAATAGTCTGCGGGTTTAGAGCAGCTAATTTTTCTCTAGTTGAAAAGAAACTCTCTCATTGAAGATGTAGGATATGAATCCTTATGGCGGCCTCTCTATGACAATGCTACCTGTTTTCCCTTCCTCCTTTTCCTAGGGTTGAACTTACAATTATTTTTAATGATTGCTACACTCATATCTGCTTTTTCTGAGCTATTTTTCACTTGTAGAGTTGGTATATTTTCCATTTCTGAGTGGAATTTGCAATCGAGGAAGTACTCTACTGCAGTTTTTGCTCAGTATGCGATCTTTTGGCCTGCATGTGTAGGATTTAGGATTCGTATACGACGAACAAAACATTAGGCCGTGACTAGGTTAATTCTCTCAAATCAATAATAAAAAATAAATTGAACATGCTTTCCTTCAAGTGTTAATTCTTTTAGGAACTTTTATTTACAAGTTATGATAAACTCTCTTTTATTATTGCAGCAGAGACTCTTGAATTGCAAGTTTTTATTTTATGGAAGCTTAGGCATTTCTTTATTTCATATAAGACCATCTCCAATGTTAAAAGCCATTTTCGCATGTCAAATCTATATTTTGACAGGTGTTACAGTGTCAAATTGCTAAATTTTAACAATAAATGCTATTTTTTGACACAACCACCATTCTTTTTTAACCATTATTCTCACCATTCATATTTGCATCAGTAATATTAATATTAGGCATATTCCATGTCAGGTCTAGATATTAGAAGGAAACTAAAATTAAACTTAATTAAAAAGAAGCAAAAATCTAAAATATCTGGTGGAAAAAAAAAAAATGATATAAAAGAAAATCAAAAAATTAAAACACATATTATTTTATATATATTATATTATATAAATATATGTATGTATATTATATATTTTGATTATATTATTATTAAAAATATATATATATTTAGGGCAAATCATTTCAGCCTCCTCAATTGCCTCCATCTCTATTTTCGCTCTCAACTCTGAAATTGCCCTCTCTCTCTCTCTCTCTCTCTCTCTCCAATTGCAAACTACAAAATCAACAAGAATAAGAAGTTCAACTCTCAAGCTTCCCCCCCCTCTCTCTCTCTCTCTCTGTGTGTGTGTGTGTGTGCAACTGCTAACTTGAATGTATGGGTTTTGATTTAATTTTTTTTTCTAAATCAACTAATGAAGCTCTATAATTCTCCGTAATTTTTTTCTAAATCAATTAATCCATGGTAGGGGCGGCCTGTGCTCTTTTCCTTCTTGACATCAAAGGCCGTAAAAATAAATTAATATTTTTCGGGAATGCTCAAGAAGAAAGGGACCTATTTTTTTTCGGTTTTAGTTTTTTTAAAAGGGAAAATTTTATCTACCGGATCATTGTACATTTCAATTTAAATTAGGGATTCCGTGTACAACTTCTGGTATGACGCAACTACTGTTGCGATGTACCAACTATTTCAGGCTGAGAAACTCTTCACCAAACCCATTGAGAAAGAGGTTCAATTTTTGTCTACTTTTTTAAATTAAGGTTTGTAATTCTTGTTTTGCAAGCTAAAATTTGGTGAAATTTTTTATGATCTTTTTTAAATATATATATATATATGCCAAATGCCCCCCTCCCCCCCACTTTCTCTCTCTCTCTCTCTCTGAAATAACCGTAGTTATTTTTTTGTGTTACAATTGGCATAACTCTTGGCAAAGTTAAAAATTGGCAGCCCTTTTAGCATTACATTGGAGAGTCCCTTTTGAAGTCCCCTTGTTATATTTTATAAATGGTAGCCCTTTTAGCATTGTATTGGAGAGCTTTATATATGCACTCTTTTTGAGCTCTGTTCTTAATTTTGGACTGGTCAAATCAATAATGGCTTTTGACAGTAAAAGTTTTTAATTTATAGTGTTCGGTTTTTTACAGTGCTATGTTTGGCAGCACTAAATTCGTACAAAATTTGAAATAAACTTCCTCCGATTTCAAATTTTAAGGTACCACCAATTCAGTGATACTAAACATAACATTAAAGTTTTTTTTTTTTTTTTCGCCGTGTTCATTAGGGGGAAAAGAATACAGTAATAATAATGCTATCAATGGAGTTTTTTCATGACATAAGTGATGCTCTCTTTATTTATTAACTATTGAATTAAGATAGTTTATGATTTGTATAAAAAATCAAATTAATCTTTTAATCAATATCCCAATTCAGCGGTCAAAAAAAAAAAAACTCTTAATGCCTGGCATGAGGACACTCTGCCCTACTCTTTTAAAAATAGAAGGAAGGTAATTATTTAGAACTTCGATTAAACTTTGAAAAAATTGTAAAAAATTTCATTGTTGGTAAACTTTATCATTTTATTTGAATTTAGTATAATGTTCAAAATCTAGATATAATTTGACTAGATAATTAGAATAAAAAAGGTTGAAAGATGTAAATTTCGTTGTAAATTCGAGTTACTACAGACAGTGTTGGTTTATAGTTGAAATTTGAATACAAAAGAAAATTGAGCTTTAAAGAAATGGTTACTCCATCAATTTAAAGCAAAATACTTATAAACACAATATATTGAGCTCTAAATTTTTTATGTATGCATTATTAAATGTACTTCAAACTTTGGATCCAAGAAAAAATCTTAGGGTCAAATGTAATCTAAGCTAAATTAGAGAAGTTTTTATTTAGATTGTCATCGTTTTGAGCAAAGTTTCTGTAGAACTAAAAAGCTATGTTCAAGATAAAAATAAAAAATAAAAAATAAAAAAAACAACTTATGGTCAAATGTATTTAGCTATATGACCATTGAACAAAATAAACACTGCAACATACATATGCAAATATGTAGCGAGGCCTTCAGAAGATTTTATATATCAAATAAGAAAGCTACAAGGCAAACCAAAGTTTGCTAGAAGAAGCAACAAGAAGGCAAGGCCAAAATAGAACAAGAAGAAAGCTAAAGCCAAACCAAACCACAAAAAGGAGAAACTTGTACATGGTAAACCAAACCAGGAGAAGGAGAAACTTGTACATGGTCCGAGGTCGCGAATCACAAGAAGAGTTAAAGAACAACTGTAAAATTAATGGAGTATTTACTATGTTGCATCTCTTATCAATGGACATACATGTTTTTTCTTGAAAATTATCTTATTTTTTGTGTATCAAATTAAAATGAGAATTTCAATAATTGTTCATTGGAGGGATACCATGTGTAAGTACCTTCGAAGTATTATAGACTTTTTCAAAACTAAAATAAAAATAAAGTCAAACAAATAGCATATAAAGCATACCATCATAACATTTTAATGAACACATGAAGTAAAATGGTCAAGCCAGACAACAAACCAAAGACCATAATAGAGAGTCATATGAAAGGCTCTGCATGGCCTCAAATGAGAGTATATGTGAGTGAGTTCTAAAACCTTTCACACTCGTGCTGGAGGGTTTTACCAAGTTGTAGTAATTTATACAGTAGATCAGAGAATATTCTAAAATAATAGAGAATAATATTGAAAATGTAAATATAGATATCTGGAGTTTGGAATAAAATAAATAAATAGATATTTTAGAGGAGGATTCTACATCATAAATTCTAATGGATTAGATGTCCATTCGACTAGTGATGCCTATATAAAGAGTGAATTTAATTGGCAAGAGT